AAATCTTGTTAACATTAGTTAATGCGCTGTGAACTAACATGAACAAACAATGAACAGCTTTATTATCATTAACTAACATCAACGAAGATTAACAAATACTGTAACAAATGTATTGCTCATGGTTAGTTCATGTTAGTTAATACGTTAACTAATGTTAAATAATGAACCTTATTGTAAAGTGTTACCATGTCTTTGTCATATGTCTCAAGAAACAGTGACTAATCAAAATATGCATTATAATATCATAATGCAAATGTTTCTTGAACCTAATTTAATAGTAAGGTATCTGTTAATCTTGTTTTCCGAGTAGAGAATGGTTGTGTGTTTGCAGTGAATTATTGCATGTGTGTGTGAGTGTGTTGACTCATTGTCTGTGTGCTGCTGATGCAGATGGGCAATGACTGATTTGTGTCTTGTAAAATGGGTGTTGGGGGTTGGTGGTCCCTTGAGGTGAGACACAAGCGTGGCAGGAGCATGGGAACCCTAGAACACCCTTCACTCCACATGCATATATACATATTTATTAGCCCACATCCAGACACCTCAAATCTCACATATGTGCAATCAAACAGGCCTGCAAAAAGGGACATACAAAAAGACTTCCCTCTCAGTCATTTGTAGTCATTGTCCAATACCTCAAGCGCTATTGTTTCCATCTCAATTAAGATGATTTCTTTTATTAATTAGTTAATCTAAATGATCTTGCACATTCATACAACTTCAAACAGGCTGTCTTGTCAGACTTGAGGTATTTGACTGTACACACATACAACTGCTGCACACATTCATTCATTCACTTACTCACATCGCCATATCCTTATTCGAGCATAGATGACACCCGACCCAGGATTTCCACACACGTCATGACATCTGCTCGCCCTGGAGACCAGTCCCATAGGACACACACACACACACACACCAACATTAGTGACCCACACCAGACCAGCATCCCTAAGACACACACTCTCTAACTGCATCTGTTGAGCCTTGAGCCTTTTGGGACGGCAGACTGGCGTCACACACACACACACATGCATATACACACGCGTCCAAAATCATCTGGCCTCGAGGAAAGTACAGACCTCTGCCTAAAGGTCAAACTATGTTAATGTGTGTAGGATCGGAGCTGCTGTGTGTGTGTATGCATGTGCAGCTGCTGCTTTAATGTGAAAATGACAGCAATAATCTCACAGAAACAGATCACACTGGAAAACACATTAAAACAGAGCATGGTCTTGTGGTCAATGGAAGTCCTCATGGGAGATTCACTTTTGAGTCTGGCCTGGTTCATGTTCTCAACTTATTCCCTTGTCTCCCTTTCTATATCTGGGCCCATCAAAAAGAAAAAAAAAATGTAATTTTATTTTACAAACCATACATTAATAATTATTTAATATTTATTTCTAGCATTTAATGTTTTATTCAAAGGTGCAGACATCTCATTCAGATTAAAATAATAAGTATTATAATTTTATTAACATACAACATAAACCTAGGTGAAAGTGAAAAAAAATATATATATTAATAATAAGTGTAAGACATTACATGTCAGAACAGGTGCAGAGAACACACCGCAACTACACAGCCACACGCCTGGCTCCTGCAGTTGAATAGGGGGGATTGACACCATGAAGCTCTGAGGAGGAAAACAGGGCCTCACTGCAGAGCTAGCGTTATGTTATTAGAGAACCCAGAGTGACAGATGTAGGATAAAAGAGAGGGCAGGAGAATCAGCAGGGGTGAAAGAAAGAGATGAAAAGGTGAAGAGGTCAGCAGAACGACAGAGGAAGGGGAGGAAAGACAGAGTTGTACTTGAAAAAAGAAGGATCGATAAATCTATCCGCTGTTGCTTCACAGTCTGCTTCTTTTGTTCCAGATGGCAGCTGATGTGTGGCAGGTTCAGAGAAACCACATCCAAATACATATACACTACCGGTAAGATTTAAAAAGAAAAACTCTTATGCTCACTGCATATATGAAGAGTTCAGATGCAAAAGCCTCTAAATGCCATTTGAAATTTTCTTCTTTAATGATGATTTTTGTCGAACTTGTACATTTAAGTTGAGTGATTTCACTTAAATGGCAATGATAATTACCTATTAATTGTAATTTAAGTGAAATTACTGAACTTAAATATACAAGATCGACAAAAATCATCATTAAAGAAGAAAATTTCAAATGGCATTTAGAGGCTTTTGCATCTGAACTCTTCATATCTGAACAGAAATAAAGTAAAAATAGTCAAATTGTTGCATAGAATTTTAATAAAAAATCTAATAAGTGTTTTCTATTTTTTTATATTTTAAATGTTCAGCATCATTACTCATCTTAAGTCACATGATGAAATCATTTTATTATGTTGATTTGCTACTTATTATCAACGATTAAAATAGTTGTACTGATTAATATTTTTTGTGGAAACAAATTTCTAGAAATCTATATTTAAATCTATTTTTCTTTGATAAATAAAGTTCAAAAGAACAGCATTTATTTGAAATGGGAATCATAAATGTCTTTACTACCACCTTCTCACCAAAGTAAATCTCTTTCTGACCATACATTTTTGAACGGTAGTGTATACATACACAAAATCTCGAAAACGGTTATTTACTCCTAGTTCATTGTTTTGTTTTCCTTCCCTCGACCAAAAAATCGAGACCAGCTTTAACATGAACATAAAATTAAAAATCAAGTAATCTATCTTATCTATCTGCCAAATAACAAAATAAAAGCAAGACAACTAAACCCGTTTTCAAATAACCAAATGTTAAAAAAACCCTGCAGGTTAATGTAACCTAAACCAAAGACAAAAGCTGATATCGTGTATCTGGTACGACGACCGGTGAAGATGGCTAATGTGATAAATGACTGATACAGACATATTCACAATCTGCAGACAGCCACAATAAAGTACTTTTTTCTTCAGCAGAGGTCTCTAAACCACACAATAGGGCTACCAGCTGCCGTCTTACACATGCGCAAAGCATTCCCCAACCACAGCTACATCAGCACACACACACACACAGGCAGCTGTTTAAGCAGAGCTCTTCAGCTCTGGAGAATCAGAGAACAATACTTGAGCTCTAAACACTCCTGTCTGAAACTTAGTGAGAAGCTAAGTGTCCATGCCAGTATCTCAGTAAAAGCACGGGCATAAACATGCACGTGCGGAACATAATATCAGCAGAACATGACATAAAACAATAGTCTAACCATTCAGTTAAAATTTATTGAAATATCAGGCTCACTTATGGAGCGGATTTCATTAAAAAACCAAACATACACACATGAAACTCGCACTGCTGGAAAACCCAATGATTTTGAAGAAACACATGCAGTAAAATTATCATCAGAGGAATACACTGCGTGAAAATTAAAATATACACTGCCCCCTAGTGACAAGACAACATCATTAACTTGAAATATGAGCTTGAAGTAAGACAATTGGTTCCTGAAAATGTACATTTGTCCCACTTCTTTTTAAATCAGTGAACACAGCATAAAAAAATAAATTGAAAAGTTCCACTGGAAAAGAATGTCATATTAGACAAAATAAGAGACCTATTTTAATGAGATTCAGATGCCTTCTTTTATACCGTATACTGGTCTCCAAGCTCAGTTGTCCCTGAACACCATTAAATGTGACTACAAGTTAAAAACAGTTAATATTACAGAAGCATCATCACTCTCATAGCTGTAATAAATATGAACGTACGTGAAACACGCTCCTTACAGCAGCATTCAGATGATAAACTTGCAACAAATAAAATAGAAGTCAATGCTCACTAAAACTGTTAGCAACATTCTTAAAAATACCTTTATGAAGAAATAAAGACATAAGATTGGAAAGACATGAAGGTGTAAGTAAATGACAGAATTTTTGTGTAAACTACATAGACGTTGCATAAAACCATGTAATTTACACATTTTAAAATTAGGTCCTGTGATGTTAATCTCAAAATTTCCTATCTGACTATGTTGTGAATGAAGAAAAAAAAAGTAATAATTTGTTGCGGAAGATCATATTATATTACTGTAGGCAAATCATGGGGTTCATGGGGAAATCTCAGTCAAAATAAGATACAGGCCGGTGTTACTATTTTAATTCATTTTATAACTGTATTATTTATCTTTACCTTTTATAACTGCTTGAATTCCCCCTGCTTTTATTTTGTGTCTGTTTTCTATGTAAAGCTATATGACTTGCTATACTGTGATTATTAATATTCCTTTCTATGTAAAGCTTTTGAATAACTGTTTGAATTTTCGTAGCTTTTATTTTGCGATTAACTCCTCTATATAGCCCCTTTCACACAGAGATTCCAGAAAATACACGGATAATGTGACCCAGCATTTGTCCCGGGATTGTTTGATTTCGGTTCATTCACACTGCCAGTGATTTCCCGGGATCTGTGAGTACGTTCACGCACAACCCGTAAAAATCCCGGGAAGACACATGACGTCAGGATGAGACGTATAACGGACGCGTCGAAAACATGTACAGGCTCATACCGTTCCACAAAGCTGGTGAACGATCTCAGCTTCAGTGCGGATAGTGAGGAGCTCCTGGTCTCTGCTTCGCTCCAGTTTGCAGGTATTTGTTCGTCCTTTCTTTGTTGATGACGAACACAAACTTTCTTCTAAGAGCAACAGAGTCGCGCGATGGCACGAGTGTCATCACTATGACACACCCTTTACGGCATTGGTCCTGGCTTTTGTTCACACAGCGCGCGTTCCGGGACTGATCCCGGCAATGTTACTAGGTCCCCAACCCGGGATCAGTCCCGGTATCAATCCCGGGTCGTGTTTGCGTTCACACAGAAGGCGTTCTGGCAATTTCCCGGGATCAACTCGCTGTGTGAAAGGGGCTTATGTAAAGCACTTTGAATTGCTATATAGTGTATGAAATGTGCTGTAGAAATAAACTTGCCTTGGCTTGCGTAGGCACATATAAAATCTCTTTCGTGCACGGTTTCAGCTAACATTTTTGGAGTGGTCGCACTCACATTTTTTCACTTCACTATAAACAAAAACCCTAAGTGTGCCCTATTAGAGAGACCAGATACAAAAGCATCTTCTCAAACCGTTGTCTTTGTCCTTGCACTAAATCACAGTATTTTGACATCTTGACATTGCGCCCTCTAATGGTCACCAACGTTCCAGTGAAACATTGACTACTGACTGCAGTTTATCAACAACGGGTCAAGCTCTGATGCTTGTTGGACATCATCTGAACGCTAAACACACATTTCACAACGCAGGTTTGCCGTTGACCCTTTCGTGTAGTATCGTTAGCGCGCCGGAGGCAAATTCTCGCATCACCTGCACGGTATCCCTCTGTATCTGCAATGATTCGCGCGCAAACTCCTGTTGCGTCTCCGCTAGCTGCTGCACGGACTCTGCAAGAAGCTCAAGTGAGCGTGAGACCGTGGCCAGAAGAGCGTTAGTGGTGTGCTGCTCCTGCACGCTAAGGCTTGCGTTGTGTGCTAATTGCTCACGTGAACTGTCTGGCTCCGCCCCAGAGAAAGACGAGGGTCTTTTAGCAGAGGCGGTGGCTGTGGAGGAGACGTGTCCAATATTGCCTCTAGTTGCAACTCCGTCCTCCTCAGAGTAAGAGTTACTGACGGATGCCATAGAGGATGATGGGAAGAGGTCACGGTTGTCTTCATCTGAGTCTAAGTGGGATTCAGGATCTGTAATCAAACAAGTAAACAGTCATATCATAAGTTAAACATATCATCACAGGTTTACGATACACCATTTTTTTTTCTTGAACACATGACATTTTACACAAATTGTTTTGGGACATTCAGACATTTCACACAGACATTAAATTTACAACTTGGTTGGAACTACTTTATTGTTTCTTAAGGCTTAAGCCTGGTCTCAGACTGAAATGCAAGTTTGTTTTAACTGAGAGCAACTTGTACTTATAATTCTTAAAATATGTCAGTGCCATTGTTTTTATCTCATAATTCAAACAAGTAATGTTTTTTTTCAAAAGCAGTTTAAAATTATTTTATATATATTTTTAAAGATATTAATACTTATTCTCTCAAGATGCATTAAATTGATCAAAAGCTACAGTAAAGACATTTACAATGTTACAAAAATTTGTATCCCAAAATAAATGCTGTTCTTTTGAACTTTTTGTTTCCCAAAGATGTCTGGAAAAAAATGCATCATAGTTTCCACAAAAATATTAAGGAACACAAAGGTTTACATTAATAACACTAATAAATGTTTCTTGAGCAGCAAATCATCATATTATAATAATTTCCTAAGCATCATGTGACACTGAAGACTGGATAATGATGTAATGATGTAAAATCAGTAATGATGCTGAAAATTCAGCTTTGCCTCACATGAATAAATTAATTTTTTGTAACATATTAAAATAGAACTGTCTAATTTTAAAGTTATTCTAAATTGTGATATTATTTCACAATATTACTATTTTTACTGTATTTCTGAGCAAATGCATCATTAGAGAGCTTAAGGAACTACTTTAAAAAAACATTGAAAAATCTTTACTGACCCCAAACATTTGAACAGTAGGTTTTTAAAACATAGCATCTATCTTTATAGTGCATTGAAGTGAACCTTTACAAAAATGGATCCCTATTGTGTAAAAAAAAAAAACACACAGTGCAGTGCTAAATCTAATGAAAATTCTTATGGTATTTTCAGTTTGTTTACCTCCAGCTTTGGATCCGTCGTACTGCATCTCACTAGCGCCACCATCTCCGCTTGTAGTAGCAGGCATTCCTCCCACATCCATTCCTCTGGTTGGGGAACTGTTGACCGACCCCATTCCCACAAACCCCCCATCCTCCTCTTCCTCATCCTCACACACAGGCTCTTGTTCATCACCATGACTGCGAGATCTGGACCTCTGTGTAGCTTCCCATGGTTTCTTGTCCAGTTCAAGTATGGACTCCACAATGACTTCCATCGGGGACAGTTCAATATTGGACCGTGCCAGTCTCAGGGATACCGTAGCACCAGTCCGCAGAGCAGCCACTTTGCGCTTTGTGTCGCATTTGAGGTCGGACCATTTCTTGATCACCTCCATGATCTCTCTGTCACACTCTCCAATCTCATTAACACGCGCCGTGATCTCGGCCCATTTCCTGCGCTTCACGTCAGAGGGAATGCCTGCGTTAAACTTGCCTATGCACAGACACAGGAAAGTATGGGAACATTTATTTTTATGTACAGTTTACCCATGTTATAGGGACATGAAACACAACTGGTGGTTGTCTAATCTGAGCAAACTCATGTAGTTTATAACAGACTGCAAACTTGCTAAGGAAGGTTTTGCCTGTCAAACGGAGGTAAACTCACCCACAACTATGTGGCGATTCTTCCGCACCTCGTCTAGCAGGATGTGCACTTCACTGAAGGAGAAACGTGCTTTTCTCCTCTTGAAGCGCACCATATTGTCTTGTTTGAGGTAGAGCGAAGACACGGACATCTTCGCGGCAGAACGCTTCACTCAGTCCAATTAGGGGGGAGTCTGTAAAGTGTAGAAATTACCATTAAAAAAAAACAATAAGTAATTATTTTGATTTGAATCCGATTAAAAACGTAATTTGTCATTTAGAAATATTTGTTTATACAGAAGCCTGCCATTTAATTAACTTTTATTGCAGCAATATTTGAGTCAAAATGGGCTGCATAAAAGAACTGTTAGATTAATCTGTTCACACAGACGTTTGGGTGAAACCTCCTTAGCTTCTTTCTGTTTCTCACAAAATGTGTATATCCTTGTCACTTAATGAGGCAACCATCAGAAATGAAAATATTTTTATTATAAATATGGACAAATGTTGCATTAATTTCAATAAATGAAGTGGTTTGAAGAGCAGCTATGCTAATTTTCGATTTCCTGTTTCTACCTCAGGATACACAGAATGCAAAAATTTCAGATGACAGCAACACTTGTGAAAGTATTTATAATGCCAACTTCAGATCAACATAGAAAACTGTTAGATATTATCCTCATATTGTAATCATTACAAGCACATGCTGTAATTGCTGCCTAAAAATTTCTTAAACTGAATACATTTTTGCTAAACTGAATACATGATGTCAACTAACCACATAACCTGTATAATCTTATTAGTTGTATATTACAGCCATATGGACTTTATTTAGGCACACTCATCTCTGGCTGATAACAGAATCCTTCAAAATTGTAACACTGAAACAAGCATTTTCTGTAAAGCTGATTTGAAATAATACGTACTGTGAAAAGAGGTATAAAAACTTGAATTCATTTGTAGCTCCATCTATTAGGGTAAGTGCATCTATTAAAGGGATAGTTCACTTTGAAATTAATTTTTAGTTGGTTTTAGCTTACCTCAAGCACATCCAAGATGTAGGTGTCTTTGTTTCCACAGTAGTTTCAATTTTGATATTTTTAGGTCAAACCTTTCATGTCTATCAGTTATTTGGACTTCTCTGTGCATTCTCTTTGAGGTGGTGACCATAGACCTCCATTATATGACTGATAGACACAAATGGTTTGACCTAAAAATATCAAATTTGAAACTACTGTGGAAACAAAGACACTTACATCTTGGATGCCCTTGAGGTAAGCTAAAACATACAAAAATTTATTTCAAAGTGAACAATCCCTTTAAGCTCACCAAAATCTAAGTCTAGTTTTTTTCCTAGACATTGACATGAAAAAGAATTTGTTAAAATGCAATTAATTATTTGATAATTAGTTGATGTACATTTCAGAATATAAAGTCAGAAGTCTGGCATGGACTTAATTAAATATGGAAAGAGGGCTAACTTTCTGTTAGGAAATTGTTGCAAAATATAGACATTTTTGTTTTTCTAAAAGCTCAATACATAATTTTATTAATATGAAGATTTGTGGTCTTGTTTTAGGGATAATTGCATAATTCTGCTCATTTAAATTGTACATTCAAGTAAAATAATTATGTTGATCACCTCTGATTAATGACAAAGTGGAAAGGTTGCCATTTTAAAAACTACTGTCAGGCAAGGTTATGAGGCATGAGACAAAAGACGTCTCGCATACCACGTCAGCGTCACCGTGAGTACGATTTTAATTTACATGCATTGCTCAGATCAACAAATCACTTGATTTTCAATTTTCAACAAGATGATCTTAACTAACAACAGACGATGGATGTCCCGGAAGGAAGAGCAACTAAACGCCGGCTCATTCATTCATCCAGCTATTACCTCCAGAGGAAAGAGCGCATGTTTCCATCGAGGTGTAGTAGCTAGAACTGTAGTTACACAAACACATTAACGTTACCATCACGCGTTCTCTCTCTTTGTGCCGCGAAGAAGCGCCATCGTGTTATTAACGCAACTGAATTAAACCAAACGCATATCCCCAAGCAGCACACAACTGTTGTAAAATGATAAACAGAATATCATTGTTATCATAACGAAACAAAACGCTTGAATGCGGAAGGACATTTGGCCCCCATTTTCTTATCCTACAATCATCACTGACTAGCTGTTTAAGCTAACGTTAGCTATTTTACACGATATATGCGATCACATTCACTTTAACGATCAGTTTGTAAACTCCAGGAAAGCCGTAGGCGTATAAGGTACTTTAAGACTACAAAAGTTTGGAAAATACCTCAGAATGGTGAAATGTAATCAATATTTTGCGTTGCGTCCAGATATCCAGAAACTTCGTAGAAAGCTGCGTATGCGCTGCGCAAGCGCACTTTCCAGCCTGTTCTCCGTGGCGTGGATGGGTGCAGTTACCAGGTCGGACCACTCCTATATCAGTGGCGCTAGTGCTCACCTAACAGTTTCAGCACACACGCTTTAGTTTAGTTTAGCTAAAGCTGACGGCCATAGATATCCATATCTATGCTGACGGTAATGTCCTCCTATTAGCTAACATTTTCGCGTTTTATGAATACGTTTATGCTTCAATTATAGTAATTGGAGTTAACACGCCAGATTCATACATAGTATATAGAAACATAGAAAATATTACTGCATCAAAACATACACCAATGATGGTGGAATTAATCAATAAACAAACTGATGAAGAAAACACAAAGTTTATCACTATATTTTTTTATTCAATGTAAAATTTTATTTGACACCAGATTTTCATGATAAATTCATGGCAATATTTTTATCCCTTGAATCCCCCATTGAATTCATGCAAAATTGGCACCAACTGACAACATCAATATGTAAAACAGTTTTGCATATTTGTGGATGAACCTAAACCCTTCATAAAGGCATATTTGTTCATTTTGACACTTGCTTATAATTTTCTTTCTTTGGTTAGTAATAAAAATAAAATAAAATTGTACAAATAAAACGATAGAGAAAGAGAATGGCATAGTTGAGTGACACTCATAACTCCAGAGGTTGAAAAGCTCCATGCTGGCATTTCTCTAGAATTAGTGCTATAGTGTGTGAAAAACAAGAGAGGGAGCAGTGTAAAGCATAAAGTCATTATTGCATATAACTGATTTGACGTCATCGCAGAGCTTCACATCACTCAGGAGTACATTGTCAGCTGCAGCCACTGTGAACAGAAATAATTTCATTTATAATTATAATATATTACAGAACCTTTTATCCCAAGTAAATTTGATACTATTTTTAAGAGAATGTAAGTTCAATGTCATTAAGTTGTAAAGATGTCAAATTTCTCTTACCTCCTGAATATTGACCTTGATTGTGCCATCATTGTCTTTGTCAAGAGTCTTGAAGGCGCCTGAAGTCAACAACAAAAAACACAGATAAGTATCTTTAACACATTATTAAATAAATAATCTATTTGTTCTGTATAAAATGACTGACACATAGCTTAAAGGGCTTATATAATAAAAAAATGCAAACACTAACTATCTGTAACTTTTAGATACCGAGTAAAATAAAATGGCTATTTACTAAGTCAGCTAAAAAATCGTATTTCAAACTTGTTTGCTCTGAGACATCATATATTATAGATGATCTTAATGTATGTATATATATATATATACTGAAGGAATTAACAAAATGGCTTGGCATCACTTGACTTCAAAGCGGACATGTACTAAAGGACACAAAATAACAATAAGAGTAAACACTAAATTTGCCTTGTAGCTGTCATTTATTTAACAACTACTAAACAAAGCCATCTTTCAGAATAGGGAAAACAAGATTAAGTCAGTGTTTACATTTCCAGATCATGTTACTCCCTTGTTTCCTGATTTCCTGTACTCACTCTACTCTGTATACTGTACTCCTAAAGCTATTAAACACTAAGAAAGAAACTATTTCACTCAGCTAAAACCATTTAAAAAGTATTTTTCTTTTATCATCAACTTACGGCACATAGCATCCAGTCTCACAAGGCAGCCGATGTAATTGTCAAAATCCATGTTTCCATTCTCATCGCTATACCTGCGAATAAGCATCTGAAAGAGTTGCTCATTCAATGGGAAACCTAATGGAGACACAAGAGAGATTTTACAGTGGATGAACATACGGTTTAAATGTGAACAGCAGCACAATGCATATATATTAAAGGACAAGTTTGCCAGTTTTTATCCAGTTTCATGTCAGTAGTATATGAAGTGTACTCTTCCATGTTACTAACAACCTAATCTGCTGGTTTATTTGAACGAAAAAGCAGAGTTCTGACAGCTCCAGGGCTATAGTTAAAACTATAGATCGTACTTCCACATTTTGTATTGCTGCTCACGGATGGTCTCGTCGAACCCAGAACGTTGTGGCTGTTGAAGTTTAATGGGAATACCACAGCCCTATTCTCGGTTTTATATAGTAATGTAGCACCATTTTTTTCTACTTCATAGACAGCAAAGTTTTTATTAAAAAACAATCTTGTCAGTGGTGAATTACACCATTAACCTCACTGAAAACAGAGCTATTGTGCCAGCCTTGTTTAGGGACCAGTTCCCACTGGAATGAAACTAGCACAGGACTAATATTGGCCAAGGTCATTATGCACAGCTGCACTACTTCCTGAACTTAAGCCAGCTCCTTGTTTCCTGTCTGCCATTATTGGCCAAACTTGATTAATTCAGGTGTGCCTGATTATTGTTGCCGCGACTGCTGAGGTCAGGCACACCTGGATTAATCAATTTGTCCAAGCAGACAGGAAACAAGGAGCTGGCTTAAGTTCAGGAAGTAGTGCAGCTGTGCATAAAGCCAATTGCTGCGTCCCAATTCGCTTACTTATACTACGCCCTAAAAGTATGTACTCTTTTTGTGAGGAAAAAGTATATACTTTTGAGTGTGTAGCAAAAGAGTAGGCAAGCTTTGGGACGTACTATCACGTCATCTTTAACGGACAGCTTTGTCGCGTGCTGCGTGCATCCTGTCACCGTAAACTGCCCTGTCAATCATCTTGTCACAGATTTAATAGTTCGTCAGGTTAGATACTGATAATTAATCACTCAAAGCTCTTTATCTAAACCTCTCTACACAACCGCGGGGACTCGCGTGTCCTCCGTATCGACTACGTGTCTGTAGTTTAACACTTTCTACTCGTGTTTGTAGTTCTAACCGAATCCTCGTCCAACGCGCAATGGTTTGTGGGCAATATCAGCCGTTAGAGTGTGCATCGATCTACACTTCGGATTCTGACCGGAAAAAGTAGACCATCCGGGTATCTTTGAAACACTCATTTCAACATACTACGATTTGGGACGTACTAATACTATTTTCGAATACTATTTAGGACGGATAGTATGCGAATTGGGACGCAGGGAATTGCAAGCAGTCTTATATTTAGGGTTGGGTATCGTTTGAATTTGAACGATTCTGATTCCGATTCCGATTTCTTGTTTCGATTCCGGTTCCTAACAATTCTCGATTCTGATTCTTTTAAGAGGCAGGGTCAAAAAAGTTTAGCTAACCTTGCTAACCAACGGTCTTTCTGAAGGAAATAATCCTTTCTGAAGGAAATACTCCTTCTGTCACAAATACTCCTTTTGTCACAAATTTTGCATTTTGCCGAGATTTCGTTATTTTTAGAAAAGTGAAGCCACACTTTGGACCGCCGACGTAAGCTACTCATGTTCGACTCGCGCGGTTATGCCAAGACTTCCGGTAGACGCTTCTTCGTAGGTGTTGTTCAGCGGTTTCTTCTTCCGCTCGGCGGACTGTGAATATCGAAACTAGGAATCGAAATTTTAACTTTTGAACGATTCCGGGAAAAACGAAAAGTTAGTCCCGATTCCAATCGATACTCGATTCTCGATACCCAACCCTATTATAATCAATAAAACGTACATCCGGAACCCCTAAAGAATCCATTAAATGGGTTTTGTTGATGTAAATCCACAATGTGTGTTTACCTGCAGCTTTGAAGGCACCTGGAAGCTCATCTGCTCCAATAGTTCCTGAGCGATCCCTGTCATAATCCTTATAAACTGCCTATAAAACAGAGAGTAGCTTAGTTGTGTTAACTTTGTTGTCTTATTTTTTGTTAACTGTCTCAATTTTTTATTCTTAATGCAGAGTTTCATTTTCTATACATATATAAGAAAACATGTAAATTCAATCAGCAATACAAATAGATCAAACACAACAACATACAAATATACAGCTTAGTTAAATCAAATCTGGTTTAAAATCAAAAAGACAAATCTTCAAGCTGTTGTTACATTCTCTACTCACCTGCCATTTCTTGATGTTGTTCCAGAGGTGTTTAAACTCATGGAAGCCCAATTTACCTGTGCTGTCACTCTAGAGCACAATGTCAAGATCAAACAGCATTTAAAATCAGCCACAAAGAATAAAAAAAAAAAAAAATGGTATTGGTTGTCGGAGCCGATAGTCTCGTGGGCAGCACACAAACATGTTGTATGGTTGTACTTCAGGCAACCCGAATTCAACTTTTGTTTTGGTGGCGCGGCTGACTTCTATTGAGAACGCCAGAGCCTGAGCACTAGTTCTCCATTAGTTTATGATCCGTTCAACAGTCATGTCTAATACGTTATTAGATACTGTTATACAAAGAAAGTAGACAGTATATGGAAAAAGTATTAGTGTTTGCCATGTGGTTGATGTCCAGTATCGCTAGCTGAGCAGAAGTACATTATCTTGTTTTGCTTGGTTCAAAATTGCATTGGATTTTCTCCTAAGCGTCAAAGTTAAGAGGGCCATCTACCACCGTTTTCCATGTTTGTACATTACTTTTTTTTTAAAAGGTCGTGTGCTGGTGTTTGGTGTGTTCTTGCCGATTAGCGTACGCTTACTTCACTGGCAGTTGCTATTATGCTGGGTTAGACCCTACTCTGAAAGTAGGAGCTAATTTAGTTCCAAAAGGAGTTCCTAGAACTAAAATCATTCCTAGTCCCTGTGATGAACACACCAAAAAGCGGGTACTTCCCCTTAATTTTGCTTCCTGTCTACCCTGAATAAAATAAAATTGAATAAAAGCAATTGTTCAGATCAAACTAGGAAGGATACATCCATGACAGCCACCATACTTCTACATGACTCGATGGTGAAGCCATCTGTCTTCAGATCAGCATCTGCAATAACATACAGGGCAGAGGGAATCAGTATTACACAGCAGCAAACATCAGACACACACAGACCCAAACATACCACTCACGTTTGGAGATGATTCTGTTGAGGATGTTCATCAGTTCATTGGGGCTTACTTCCATGTCCTGAAACAAAAGGACATTGTTACAACAGCCAGTGTTTATTGTATGTAAAGGTGTATATATGAATATTTGCTTGTGTAATACTA